TAGTGGCTGTTTCATGGCACAGTTGTGTGAGTGAAGCCCTGGGACAAAGATCCTGTAGTTACTACTTCATGATGTGTGTGCTGTATTTACAGCACTGTGTTATGTAATCAGTAGATGGGTGATTTTGAATGGAGGGTCACTATATTTTAGATCCTAACCAGGAATACAATTCTCTCTTTGCATATCATTTTACCTCCCACCAATCTCCTGGTCTCCTTCAGTTTTGTTGATTCTCTAAACCCTATCTCTGCGGGACACTGACAGGAGATACAAGAGTTCTTTTGACATCTACTTTGTCCATTTTGTTGTTCTATGCTCACTTCTAGGACCAGCCACTGTTCAAGTGGAGTATTATATCCAACTTCCAATTATATATAGAAAGAATGTGCAACAATATTTAATGAGTGGCATTGTGCCCCTCAGGCCAGACATTATTCCCATTTTTTTTTCTCCACTAAAAGTGAGATTTGCCTGTTTTAAATGCCCCTGAAGTGTTTGCCGTTAATAGTATTGGGTAAAATTCCTGCTAAATCCAATCATCTTTACAGGCGTACTGCCCACCACATCACAGGGGTGCTGCCCCAGGACAGCAGACACTTCTGCATGTAGAATAGTGCTCTGCTGTGCTGGGCAATGTGGGGAGTGATCTTTACATTTCATTTTGCTTTGAGGACCTGCTTAAGTTCTTTCAGAGGTAAATGTTTCCATCTTTATATTCTCTGGGCTTTTGCCCTACTGCACACTGGTAATTTTTCCCTCCTCTCGGTGATGTGTATGTAGTTCTACAGTCTCACCTTTCCTAAGGCTGTGACCCTTTAACACTGTGGTGACCCTCAACCTTAAAATTATTTTTCTTGCTACTTCATAACTAATTTTGCAACGGTTATTTATTGTAATGTAAACACTTTTGGAGATGAAGTTTTGCCAAAGGTTTCATGACCTACATGTTGAGAACCAGTGCCCTAGTAAAAAAAGAATGGGATCTCTTTTATCCACTTACTTCTAAATGTGGTAACATTCTATACTAACTGCAAAGAAGCTTCCAATACAGTTCAATTTCTTTTCCCTTGAGAAATTACTGGGTGTTCTATTCACCAAATTGTTACATTCTGCCTGTTTCTTGAAGAGCTCCAGGCCTCCTCATTGCTGTTCAGCTCTGCACTTTATTTAAAGACATTTCTCTATGTAGTCATTCTTCATGTAGGATATATTTCAGTTGTCCCTAAAGTCTTGTGATGATATGCTACTCCCCTTTCCCACTGATCAAAACTTCATGCCTTTCACACACAAGAGTCAGGGGACTGGAGCTGGATCTGACCTGAAGGTCTCCTGTCTAAGGGTGCGTTTGCTCAGTGCTAAAAGGTGCTTTGCAAGTTCCAAGGGAGAGAAGCCACAAATAGTCCTGCTTAGCTGTGACACCCGTGAACCACAGCAGTGACCAGTGTGGCAGGATATCCCTAAAGGTGCCACAGTGCCTCTCACATCTTAACAATAGTAGAAGATGTCTAATGGGACTTAGAGGGGACAGGAGACCTACAGAATGCTTGGAGCTGCCTCAGATGACTTGTTAGATCTTAAATCATAGAGGAGAACATACTAATGCCACTAAACCATCATAATCCCCAGCTGCACTCCAAGTACTTCTCCTTAGACCCACCCTGGAGTGTCGCTGTCACTGCTCCTCAAAGGTGCTTCTCACTGCAGCAGAGCATTACAGAAAACTGAAACTTACAAAGTGCACATAACTATTGTCTTTGGTACCGTGACCCAAAAGATACCCTGCACCACAGTTCCCGCACATGAGGCTCAGGGAATATCTCTGCACAGGGATCATATTGATAATGAGAGCCAGAGGCCCAGGAAGTCTGATGTGAGGTTGTGCCTTCTAGAGAGTGAAGGGAAGCTGCACCCGTGATACCCCAACAACATGGCTGCCTGAACAAGGACTGATCAATGACAGTGGCACAAGATCCCCTGCAGGGGGCAGTCTGCTGGGTAAGCATCCAAGTGTAGGCACCTGAGAACTGCTGAGAGAGGAAGAATTAGTGTTTCCAGGAGGAGAGCGCTCACTGTTCATCCACTAACAAGTGGTCAGTCCTCAAACATACACACAGTCAACAGTGAACAGAATCGGCCATTCATATTTATACAATTATGTATGTGTGTGTGTGTGCTGTGTGTATGTATATAAGAATAATAATTAGGGAAGAATACACGATGTATTCTATTTGGAATCATGGGGGACGTGAGAGAAGTTGCAATGAAGAGAAAGGGGAAAATGACATACTTATATTTTAATTTAATGATTTTTCAGAGAAAAAATACAATCTTGCCAATTGTGACAATATTGGTGAAACTGAAAGTTATTTCAGGCAGATAAAGGTAAATAATACATGATCTCATCAGAATGTTAAATGTAATGAATTGTAACTCATATAAGATAGAGATTGTTAAGTCCTGATGCATAAGAGTTAGAGATGTAATAGTTTTTTCCATTGAACAATCACCTCAGGAAGACAACACTTAGGGACTTTCTTGTTGTGGAATATTAGTTTTGCTATGTAAAGATGTGTTGCATTTGTTTATGTTGTGGTATATTAGTTTATGTAAAGATGTGTTGCATTTGTTTACCTTGTCTGCCTAAGGCACCTGATTAGTCTAATAAAAAACCAAATGGCCAAAAGCTAGGTAGGGAGTACAGGCGGGACTTCCAGGCAGAGACAGTAAGTAAGAGGAGGAATCTAGGAGACAGAGACAGAGGGAGATGTCATGGGCCAGACAGACAGACTGGAGGAAGCAGGAAAGCAGGACATACAGAATGAAAGAAAAGTAAAAGCCCTGAGGCAAAACATAAATGGATAGAAATAGGGTAAATTAAGTTATGAGATAGTGGGACAAGCATAAGCTAAAGGCCAAGCTTTCCTAATTAATAAGAAGTCTCTGTGTCATTACTTGGGAGCTGGTTGGTTTCCCAAAGAAAAACGCCAGCTTCACTTCCTGAAGAATGAATGCTCTGGGCCAGTGTGATAGGAGGGAGAAGCCCCCAGTACTGTTGTCCCGAGCGCTGGGTGTCTGTAAGCATTATGTAGGGTACATTTCAGATGCCTGGGAGATAGTTTGAGGAGCTGACCATACTGTTGGTTGTTTATGCACCTTTCAGTCTTTTGTTTCTTTAGCTCTTTTGGGGGCCCGCCACAGCCCCCAAATAAATCACACATGGGCTTAGTATTACTTACGAATTCTCAGTCTAAGCTTAGCTTAACTTCCCTAGCCGGTTTTTCTTTACTTACATTATCCCATCTACCTTTTGCCTCTGGGCTTTTCCCTTTCTCTTACTTCTGTGTATCTCACTTTCACTCTTCCTCCATGGCTGGTGTGGGGCTGGCCCCCAGCCTTCCTCCTCTCTTTGTTCTCTTGGTCTTTCCCCCTTTTCTGCTTGTTTATTCTCTCTGCCTCCCAGCCCCACATATCCTTTTCCTGCCTTGCCATTGGCCATTCAGCTCTTTATTAGACCATCCGATGTTTTAGACAGGCCAAGGAACTCAGCTTTACACGGTTAAACAAATGAAACATAAAAGAATACAATATATCCTTGTATCATTAAACAAATGTTCCACAGCATAAATGTAACCATCTTAAAATAATATTCCACAACACCATACCATAACTAAGAAAGAGTATCCAAAGCTTAACCAGGAAATTATTACAAAATGCCTCATATACATAAATTACTGATATTTCATGTATTGGTAAAAAGGAAAAATACCCTGTGACTGTTCTCATAGGTCATTCTGGGACTTTACTCAATAAAATATGAAAAAAAAATTTTTGAAGAAGTAAATAGCATCAAAAATTGTACTTCTCAGCTTCAGCACAGAGATGCACAGGTGTCGTATGTGCAAAACATGCTCTAGGAATACCGCAAACACCTCAATCAACACCTGTCAGAGAAAAGATAGGAAGGAAAATGGGAAAATGATCAAGTGATGTGTATTTTATGCTAAATTCTCAACAGCGTTGTTAGTCCTGTACTTGCCTGTTTTCTCACATGATCAGATATGTAAATGACATTCAGTCTGTGAGTTCCTCCCCTGCCTGCTCCTTCTCATGTCCCGTGTCACCATCATTTGCACCATTAGTGAATCTGTAGAAATCCTGAAACCCAGATGACAGCCCGAGCTGCTGCATCAGACTCTGTATGTTCATTTCACTTCACATTCATGACTGTGGATATCAACTGTTGAGAAATTCCTTCTTCCCGATCATGACTTCCTCCTGTGAGAAATGTGTGTATGTGTGGTGTATAGTAGCATATGGTACTAAATGTATGTTCTGTGGATGCATTCATTTTATATTTCTGTCTTAAATGGATCATGCTCAACTGAATTTATAGGATCTTTTGCCTTGACTTTCCTTGAAGATGGATCCAGTGTGAGATCATGTAACCACACTGGACATGTCTGAGGAATAGTACTCACCTATGTAAGAAACATTTCTAGCTTCTTTCATCCTGGGAAAAATCTAGATTTGTGTCCACAGGCACATGATGCCTGTGTTAGGGTTTCTATTGCTGTGATCAGGACCATGATGAAAGACAGGTTGGAGAAGAGAGGGTTTATTTTAGACTACAATTTCAGGTAACAGTTCAATGCAGGAACCTGAGGCAAGAACTGGAGCAGAGGCTACAGAAGAACACTGTTTACTGACTTGTCCAGCCTACTTTCCTACACCATATACAACTGCCTGCCCAGGGTGGGCACCACCCATAACAGGCTGTGCTAGCTCATATTAATCACTAATTAAGAAAATGTTCCTTAGGCTTGGCTACAGGACAGTCTTAGGGAGGCATTTTCTCTATCATGTTTCTCTCATCTCAAATGACCCTAGCTAATGTCAAGTTGACAGGAGAACTGTCCACCCAATACATCATGGTATTTATATTATCATTAGTGGTTTTAATTAACTAAAAGTGTAATGTCATTCATTGATCTTTGTTTCAGGAAATGCTGTCCTTCTGGGATGTGGCCATTGATTTCTCTCCAGAAGAGAGGGAATGCCTGGAGCCTGCTCAGTGGAATTTGTACAGGGATGTGATGTTGGAGAATTACAGCAACCTTGTGTTCCTTGGTGAGGCTCTCATCCATAGTGAATTCTTATTTCACCATCAACATGTAGCTTTCTCTTTGTATGGTATCTCATGGGAGCATTTCAACAGTGAGTTTCATATCCTTTGTTTTCAGAAGAATTATGGAGAGTGCTGTATTAAGAATGATTTCGGTGCTGGAGAGATGTCTCTGTACTTAGCAGCACTGACTGCTCTTCTAGAGGACCAGGGTTCAATTCCCAGCACCCACATGGCAGCTCACAACTGTCTGTAATTCCAAGATCTTAACACACTCACACAGACATATGCATGCAAAAACACCCATGCACATAAAAAATAAAAATAAATTATTAAAAGAATCATTTCACTGTTTTTCTCTTTTTGTGTTTATCCTTTCTATGTTGGATGTATGTTTCCTTCAATCTAGTAGGACTGTTAGAAATTCAATGGCATGAAACATAGAGTACACTTGTTAATGAAAGGGTTTCATAACTTAGTTTTAATGTTTTTTTCCTTTAAATGAAACTCAGAATCTGAATGTTGTAATTTCTTTATGTAGTGTAGTGATTCTGTCAGAAAACATTTAAGGAACGGATTGTCTGCAATCATTTATTATATCATCTCTTTCCTTATAAGCTATGTACTGGAAGGTGCATGTCAATTCCAAGTAAAAGAACACATAAACAATCTTGTTCCTTCTTTTTCTGCAAACAGGTCGTGTTGTGTCGAAGCCACACCTGGTGACATTTTTGGAGCAAAGACAAGAATCTTCAGGTGTGAAGAGACAAGCAGCAGCCAACATGCATCCCGGTGTGTAGGAATGAGGGGTTTGGGGTCAGGGTTGAGGTCCAAATATCCCACAGAAAGGCAGGCTTTCCCATTACCCTGGAACATGACACTGTGGGAATCATTCTTTAGTTCTCTCCTTTATCTTTGTTGTCAAAGCTCATCTCTCAGAGATTTATGATGGTTTAACTCTCTTAAGCTTTGTATTTCCCCAACATTGAGCTGTGCTCCTGTTGACAGTGACTTCCAAGGTTTTTCTTTTTGTTGATTCTCCATTGTGGTGTAAGACTCGGGGAAAGAGAACTCAGTGCTGGTCAGACTGAAGAGTTTTAGAATTTGAGAGAAGACTCTTGCCAGAAACATCTCATACCAAAGTGAGCATGATTGGGTTTATAAAGCCTAATGCACAGTTCCATCACAGAGAGGCAGGAGGGACAGAAGACTCAACAGTTTCAGTTCTGGTGTTTAGAACAATTTCTGGGTGGGGAGCAGCTGCATAAAACTCAGAAACCAAAGTCACTTTGGAGCCGGGCGGTGGTGGCGCACGCCTTTAATCCCAGCACTCGGGAGGCAGAGCCAGGCGGATCTCTGTGAGTTCGAGGCTAGCCTGGGCTACCAAGTGAGTCCCAGGAAAGGCGCAAAGCTACACAGAGAAACCCTCTCTCGAAAAACCAAAAAAAAAAAAAAAACAAAAAAAAACAAAGTCACTTTGGATAGTTCATTCCCCGCTGTGTTAGGGAAGAGTTAAAGCGTTAATGTATTGTATAAAGGGATTGACTTGGCCCATTAGGTACATCGATTTAACGCATGCTGTTTGGTTTTTTCAACAGTTTTCCCATTAGTTAAGTCAGCAGGGCCCGACCATTAGACCTAGGAAGAGTAAGACATGATGAGCTACAAGACCTTATATTGTTGCTTCAGGGTTGCCCATCAAGCCAGTTCTGGGTACAGTGATTGTGTGCCCCTCATGTCACTTAGTAGATTTAGGTCTTTCAGTGTATTGTAAGGCTCCATGTTTTGGGGGGTTTTATTTTGTGTTCTTTTTTCAAGTTAATGTATTTATCATATATTATGCCTAACTGTTATTTGGACATATTCCCAGTACAACTTGTTAGAGAAATTATAAGCCTTTATGTATAAACCTGGTGTTCCCAGATACATCAGAACTAGTAAAATATTTTCTTTCAGATGTAGTCAGGGTAGCCACTGGCGCTAGCCCTATGGGAAGCATTATGGCTAATATTACTGTGTATGTGTCCAGTTGGATGAAGAGATCTTGTGGTTTCTTTTCTCCATCTGAATCTGTCTTTCCTGAGCATCTGTAACCTCTTCTATCTGTGGGAGCAAAACCCCAAACCTGCCATGCAGCACTCTGGTGGGACTCGGGCTGGCAGCTCAAGTGTTCAGGCAGTTGCCAGGAGAAGAGTCTCTGTACTGCAGCCCACCTAGAGACCCAAGATGAGGAAGCCATGTTCAGCTCCATTTTTGTATGTTTAGAAACTTTTCTAAGCTTTCTCAGGTCTTGTGTGGATATAGGAACACCACATTGGAATGCCATTTGTTGGCAGAGCTTCTTTTATCCTGGCAGCCACTCTAAAATAACCAAAATGAAGGCTTAGTATTAATTATAAGTGCTCAGCCAATAGCTTAGCTTCATTGTTAGCTAGTTCTTACATTTTAAATGAAACCATGTTTCTTATCTACCCTCTGCCATGTGGGGATATCTTGTTTCTCTCTGCAGCTGCTGGCAGCTCCTCTCATCTACTCTTCTTTCCAGCATTCCCTCTGCCCATAAAATCCTGCCTAGCCATTGGCCATTCAGCTTTTTGTTAACTATTAGAGTAATACATATTCATATTGTACAAAAAGATTGCTCCACATCATAGGCACTGGTCCCAGATGTCTCTGGATGGTAACTCAGAACGACTGCTTTGGGTGAACTTTCACAGTCCACCTCACAGCCTCCTCAGGCCATATTCCTTTCTTTACCTGATGCGGTGGGTCCACACATCGCACAAGCAGCTTAGTTTAAATGAGTGCCACAGTTCATCCTGCTGTGCTGAGTGTCCCTGTGGCAGAGCCTCTGTCATATATTATCTACCACTTTGCTGAGAACTTCTTATACAATCAGGCATTGACAGCTCAGCTCTGGGATTAGCTTTGTTAAGAGGAGGAAATTCAAAGCCCAGGGATGTCATGGTTGTTTGAACTAGCGTGTAGTTCTGTGGTGATACTTTATTTGTACTCTAACAAAGGTTGTGTAAAGATCAGAGGGCAGAGGCACCCTTGAGTTGCTTCTGGCAGGCCCCCATTTCAAAACTGGTTCAGTCCTTTCCTGTCACTGTAGAAGAAACTCCTTCCCAGAACAATTAAACAACCTAATGCCTATTGTAAAAAAAAAGAAAAACCATACTGCTCTGGATGGTAGAACAGCTATAAAAAAGAGAACAAAAAATTTTGGAGAAACGATAAAGCAAATATTTTGGCAAACTTCTATAAATGTACAAAGACAAAATATGAATAAATTATAGACATAGGTGTGGATGTAACAATAATTGCCCCAGAATCTTGGCATCCAAATTGGCCTCTTCAGGAGATAAATGTTTAGCTTTTAAGCACTGGGACATAATCTCAATTAAAACAGAGCATTAAATGGGTTCAATGTATAGAGCCAGGACAGAGAGGAAAATTAAAGCCATATGTGACTGACATAGCAATGAATTTATGGGAACATGATTTGTTACAGCAGTGGAATACCCAGATTAACATTCCTCCAATCTCAGAAAAAAACAAAACTAACATACGTTTCTGGGGAAAATATTAGAAAGTATAATAAAGAACAGTCACTGGCCATTCAGGTTGTACAAGAACACAACAGCTGGTGATCTTTCCAAGGCACCAACAGGCCTACCTTTAAAATGTTAACAGACGAGCCTGTATGCGTGGAGCAATGGCCTTTAACATCAGAGAAATTGCAAGACTTAGAATGCTGGCACAGGAACAGCTAAATGCTCAGCATATTGAAGAATCAGCCAGCCCTTGGAATTCTCCTGTATTTGTTATTAAAAAGAAATCTGGAAAATGGAGAATGGTAACACCTCTAAGAGCTGTTAATAAGGTGATTCAGCCAATGGGCTCTCTACAATCTTGAAATCCTTTGCCAACTCTCTGTTACCTAAAGCATGACCTCTTATTGTTATCAACTTAAAAGACTGTTTCTTCACTATACCTTTACAAGAAAAAGACAGAAAAATTTGCCTTCATGGTGCCTACTTGTAATAATTCTCAGCCTGTTAAGAGATATCAATGGAACTTTCTGCCACAGGGAATATTAAATAGCTCCACCCTATGCCAGTATTTTGTATGACAGCCACTGGAAATGATATATAAGTAATTCCCTCAATCTATAGTTTACCATTACATGGACAACATCTTATAAGCTGATTGAAATGTAGCTACTTTAGAAAAATGTCTCAAGAAGTAAAGATAAATTTTGCCTTGTTGGGGATTACAAATTGCTCATGAAAAAATAGAAAGACGAGATTCCATTAATTAGTTAGGATATAAAATAGGTCTCCAAAAAGTTAGACCCCAAAAGGTGCAAATTAGGAGAGATCCATTGTGGACTTCTAATGACTTTCAAAGATTGCCTAGGAGACATTTCCAATCTACAGCCCACTGTTGGGGTAAAAAATCATGAACTGAGTAATTTGTTCAAAACCTTAGATGGTGACAAGGACTTAAATAGTCCAAGAGAATTATCAGCTAAAGATGAGAGAGAACTGGCTTTGGTAGAAAAGAAATTACAGGGTGCACATGTGGATCTTTGGGTCCAGAGCTTGATTGAATTCTGGCTATTTTACCATCTACACATTGTCCTGCAGGAATTTTAATGCAGAGTGAAGATATTAGAATGGATATTTCCACCACATGAACAGAATAAGAAATCAAGGACATATGTGGAAAAGATTTCTGATTTGATTTTAAAAGGAGAATTAAAACTTTGTCAATTAGACCCAGCAGAAATTATAGTACCTTTAACTAAAGATAAAATTGACAAATTATGGGCAGAAAGTGAACCTTGACAAAGAGCTGAATTTATCCCAGATGAGTCAGAATTAACTTCATTATTTATTCAGTTATAAGAAATAGGAATGGGAATCATCCCTCATATATAACACATATCTGATCCCTTATGGGTCTTCCAGGTCATCTAACACAATGTAATGATGAAATAGATTAACTGTTGATAGGAAATGTGCTGGGAGCCTCATCAGTATAAGGTTCCCTTCAGTATCCTCAGCTATCAGTTCAAAAGACCTGGAGTGCCATGAAATTACAATGTCTTTCCATTGTTTGACACATTTGGAATGTGATGCAGAATCTAAGAATCTCTCAGCATGAGAGAATCCACGCCCTGTTTTGTGGAACATGAGTGATTCATCTTCCCTCCAGATAAAAATAGGATTTCCTGGTCTAGCTAACAGACCATAGGTAGACAGGAGCAGCAGACACTGACAATTCCTATTCCCCATGTGTCACAGTCCAGGGAAGGCCAGTTCCCAAGAACTGCTCCAGGGTTGTGAATATAAGACCTCTGAGTAGCAAGGGCTTAGGGAAAATTCTTACCTATCTGAGGACTAAACTTTTTCTATCTCAAAGGAATATAAGGAAACACACAAACTTTCTGGTGGTATCTTTCTCTTTTACTTTACCTAAAAAATGCTCTCTGACTCTGTCTCCACACAGCTACATATCTCTACACTTCCATATTCTATGCATACATGTAGCTGGAGAGTTTTCTCTCTGGGTCCCGCCAAGCCCTGGCAGTCCAACAGCCCACAGCATCTTCACATGCTGCTTGTCATGGCGGCGGCTGGCACTGTTTCCCTCTGCCTTCCTGTTCTCTCAATTCTTCTCTCTGTTAGTCCCGTCTATACTTCCTGCCTGGCCACTGGCCAATTAGTGCTTTATTTATTGACTAATCAGAGCAACACATTTGACATACAGACCATCCCACAGCA